GAATTTTCTAATCTAGAGTATAACATCTGTTTTGAGCAGAATTTGTTGTCCTGGTTTTTGTTCTATCATTGATTAAAAATTCTTATCTTCTAACATACAATTTAGAATCAGTTTCCATTTATTTTACACAAAACTAGATTGATATAAAAATCCAACGGTATAAGAATCAATTTCTAATACCTTCAATAAAATTTATGGTGATTTTCAAATTTACTGTCAAGATCATAGAATTTTGGCAGATTTCATTATTTTGCATCTTTTACTTTTTAATTAATTCTATTAGCTTTTACATACAAAATGGACCTATATGTGTGAACCTAAAGACAAAACATTCAAGGGTCACTTCTTGCTGTAGTAACTCTGTCATTGGCTCATTACAAGCCAATGTTTCCATAATATCATAAATACAAACTAAATATGCACTTATTTTGCACTTTTTCCTTAGCTTTAAACTTACTTTGATCTCGATTTCAATCAAAATCTATATGAACATCATTTAGAAAAAATATACATTTCAAAGTACATGTTAGTATCTTAGTAACAAGGCGCATAATAGGAAATAAATTCCTAAAATTTCTTTTGACACTTATGCAATACTAATTCAATTTCATAACATGAATGTTGACCTTAATATTTCAAAAGCAACTTCAGTCCTCCAAATATTCATATCAACCAATTGCTTATATAATCACTTCAATTTCCACAATCTAACCATTAAAATGAATTATTTTAGAATTTATCTCTACATTTTCAATTTATTGAATATGGTCCTTTTCTATTTAATTTCAATTCAAGTTTCAAATAACATAATCAATCATTCTAACATTTCATTCAAGAATAGTACATCAATTTTTGAACAATTTCAATTTTAATCCCATAATTTCCACAATATTCGATTATGTCCCTTAATCTTTACAAGTTTCCAAATTGGTCCAACCAACATTCTAAAGTATGTAAAATCATTACTCATCGTTTTTAGCCCTTGTATATTTTTTCTATAAATTTTCCTTAATATTTTCCATTAGGACTAATACGAAATATCACTTTGGCCTTGTTTTCCAACTTGATTCAAGCATGAATTCATCTTCTACACATAATTTCCAAGCTTTCAATGATCAATTCTACTAAGTGGCCAAACCATGATTTAACCATTTCTACTTGTTTCCGATCATTATACAATTATGGAAATGATTCAATAACATATAATACATCCAAATCCATCATTAGAACTTGAAAATATAACCTCTCCTTTATTCACCCAATTCAAGAAATTAGGGTTTCCAAGCATAAAAGCATGAAACGAAGGTATCAAATGATAGATAATTTTATATGGATAAATTTTGTATTTCATGCCTTCATCAAAATTCCTAATAAATCGGTTTGAAAAATCAAATGGAAATATTTTCCTCACCTCAGATAACCTCACGACAAGATGAAGAGAACATTAATTATTTCTTGAATTTTCTATTCTTTATTTTAATGCCATTTGTCATCATTTATTGTTAAAATGACCATTTTGTCCTTAAATTCTCATGTTTCACATGCAACCACATGTCAAAATTTCTTATCATATGGTAAAAAAATAAGCAAACATTAATAAATTCCAACTTTGTCCTTGTACTTTTTCAAAATTATAATCTTGCCATTTTTCATCAAATGGTCCAAATTTAACATGAAAAATCAACTTAAATCAAACGATCCATGTTAAATCCTTCCATATTAAGACATGGAAATGAAATTATTAAACTTCCTCTATCATCCTTCAAAATATCGAAAAAATCATATTCGATTCGATTATCTAAATTTTTCTCCAAACTTTATCGTTTTACAACTTTTAATACAAATTTCGGATAAAAAATCAGAAACCCACAAAAACCTCATTCTTGGGGTAAACTATTCATTTATAAGATGAAATTTATTTTGAGAAAAATTAACATTTTGATCCCTAAACTTCTCCCAAGTTTACACTTTGGCTACTAAATTGTCAAAAGTTATATTTTTGGTTACTAGCTAAAATGTTGGGTTATTACAAAATTATAACACAAACTTCCACAAGTAGGGACCAAATAGCTCATTCATCAAGGTTTGGAATGTTTCTGGTGCGTTTGTTAATCCAAAAGGCATCATCTTGAACTTAAAATGTTTATGGTGAGTTCTAAAGAATGTCTTTGGTATGCTAGGGACCAAATAGCTCATTCATCAAGGTTTGGAATGTTTCTGGTGCGTTTGTTAATCCAAAAGGCATCATCTTGAACTTAAAATGTTTATGGTGAGTTCTAAAGAATGTCTTTGGTATGCCTACAAGAGTGATGCTTATTTGCTGATACCCTAGCCTTAGATCCAATTTAGAAAAATAGGTAGCTTCAACCAATTCATCTAAGTGATCTTCCACCACATGAATAAGATATTTATTTTTATTGTTAATGCATTTAGTTGCTTGTAATCTATACATATCCTCCAACTTTGATCTTTCTTTTTACCAGTAAACATGATGGTGCAAAGGGATTCTTACTAGCATGGACAATAGAAAAAGATAACATCTCAGCCACCTGGTTCTCAAGTTCTATCTTTTGGTGATAAGTCATTATGTAGGGTTTTATGTTAATTGCTTCAGCTCTAGCTTTTAACACAATACAATGATCATGTTTCCTCTTTGGAAGCATTCTAGTAGGCTCTTCAAATATCATATGAAATTATTCAGTATTTTATATATATCCTTAAGTATTTCAGCCTCAATCACTTCCCCCAATCAGCATATACATCTCTCTTGAAATATCAGGATCCTTCTCTACTAATTTTTTCATTTTACTACTTGATATAACCTTAAAAGTCAGAATATTTTATCCTTTCTTCAACATATTTTCCTGTCCTGCACTTCTGAAAATAAATGTCATATCATTGAAATGCATTATCAAAGGGTTGTACTTCTTCATCTAGTATACTCCTAGGACCATGTCATTTCCTTCCATGGGTAAAACTCTAAAGTCATGCTCAAACTGAAATCCTTGCATCCCCTAGTTCAACTGTTTGCTTTTTCTTTCTTGATGTATAATATTTCACCATTTGCCATTATAATAGCTAAATGAGTGGTTTGCTCCAATTCTATCCCTTCTTTTGATCACCTGTAATGAAACTATGTGTGTTACCACTATCAATTAGAAGGTTTAGCGGCTTCTCTTTGATATATCCCTAAATTCTCAATGTATTGCATCTTGTTTAACCAGTTAGAGCATTCATTGATATTTCTAAATTTGTCTCGGGCTGAGTCACTTCTTCCTAACATTTCTGTTCATCTTCTTATTCCTCTTGTTCTCTCAAGTCTCCATGGAATTTAGTTGCTTTAACTTGCACTGATTACCAGGAGTAAACTTATCACCACACTTGTAACATAATCCATGTGTCCTATAATCCATCACAAACTGCATGTTTTGTTTCAGATACTGCTGGACTCCATTTTGTGTCTTGTTAACTGTAGCAGTAAAGTTCTTGCAAGAAGAATTTAGTCATGTTGAAGTAGTTTTAGGCTAATATCTGATTTTTCTGTTTTCAACTTCCCAAGTCAACTCAAGCAATCTGGCCAACCTGAAAGCAGGAGCTAGAGTCAATGGGTTATGGGTTTTGACTCTATGTTTAATTTCCTCCTTCAACTCAATAAACTAGAAACAAAGTACCCCTTCTCTAATAAAAGGACTGTACCACGTCACATAAGACTTAAGTTCTTCGAATTTTTCTTGGTACTCATCCACTAAACCCCTCTGGGTAGTTTGTTAAATTCCTAAATTATTTCATTACAATCCTTACCATAGAACCTAAGGCAAAGGTCTTCAATAAACTCATGTCAATATATATTATTTTTTATGCTACATACCCATCAAATTAGATCTCAGACATCTCAACCAAATACATCGAAGCTATTACCACCTTCTGAATTTCTGGAATACCAAAATTTGAAAAGTATTTTTGACATTTCTTCACCCAAATCCTTAGATTAATCCCATCAAAGGCATGCAATTCTATTTTAGGCCTCAGTATAAAACTTGTCTGCATATTTCCAGCCATAGAAGATTCTCCCAACTGTCCTATGTTTCCCCTTATCTTCATTTTAAGAGCCTTCATTGAGATTTGAAATTGATTATTAGTGTTGATAGGGATAGCAACAGAGTGATGAATGTTGCTTAAAGTCGAGGAATCAAGCATAGGGATCTAGACTCGATCAAAGAATGAGGGGATTATGGATTAGAGTTTTGTTGCAACATTTAGGTTTTTTGAATTGAGGAAGAATTACTTGAAAATCAAGAACAAAAATTATGATAATAAGGATTAAGATAATAAAGATAAATAATATGAATAATGATAAAATGACTTAGCCAAATTAGGATTTTATGGTGATGGTGGTCGATTTTAGGATGATGATGGTGATGATAGATCATTGTCCTACGAACTCACCTAGTTGTCATTGACTAGGAAAACTCGATCATCAGCTCTAACCAACCCTCCTAATCAAAAAGAGAAGGCAAACTGGAGTGTGAAGATCTCCCTCATGAACGAAATTGAAGAACTTAATGATGAAGAATGCTTCGAAGGCGCAAAACAATCAACACTTGTAAAAATGAACTCTCGTTGTATTATTAATCAAAGAAATAATATTTTAAATCTATCTTAATTCTTAATAAAATAATAAATATAATCTAAAAGATAACGTATCATCATATATTAAATTATATTAAAAATAATCAATAAAATATTGATAATTCTTAATATTTACAAAATCACGTATTAATCACGTATAGGAATTTCTACATGTGATATCTTCACTAAAATGGACATATCTTGAGTTCTCGACATCGGTTTGACGATTTTCAAGTACCGTTGGAAAGCTAAGAGACAGACGTCGAATCTTTAGAAGATATGTTGACCAAATAACACCCGAATCACAATAAAAAAAATCATTGCAAGTATACTGCTATTCTAGTCTTCTTTTTCAATGCTTGATTGTGTAGATCAACTCGAAGAGATAATCCATCTTCCTTTGATGTGAGACTTGTGGTGCGTGTATCAAGTGTGATAAGGTAATGTTTGGTTCATGCAAAATGCTAGAATACTGCTACTTGGTTTGGCAACTGAGATTCCATGTTCTTAAGCCTTATACGAGTATTTCTCATGCTCATTGATAACAATAACTTGTAACGTTTTCTTACCTCTACGTTGTTTTTGAATTTTTCACATGTGTTCATGTTTCTCATTAGATTTGTTTGTTCCACTGCCTCGACACTTTTAGCCATCAAGCTTAACATCATTTGTAGATAACCCCAAGTTTCTTCCGATCTCATCTCCAACGTATTAAACTTATCTTCCCTTCACTTTCTGCCTTCTCCAACATTTTGGAACCTTCACATCATCATCCTCTTCTTGATTAGACTTGTGTACTTCAGGTTGCTTGTTCTCGACCATTTTTTAAGATTTCTTGCTTTTTTCTCAGTTTGTTGGTACATTCAAAAATCTTGCTCTGATTACCAGTTGTCATGATCAAACTTACATATTGAAGAAAAGATCTAAGGAAAATAGAGAATTTTTGCTTAAGAAAGGAATTTTATGATCTTCATCATAGAAACTCATATTGTCTATTACAAAGAATATATAGTTTGGATATCCTATTGTACTAATTGATCAGTTTCTTTTAACAGATGGACATCTTCTAACAGAATAGATTCGCCTGTTGCTAGTATTGGATTTCCTGGAACGTCATTCCATGCAGTTTGATGTTGATGCATAGCTTGTTGAATCCTTCAGTCAGTGGCCCGCCATTGTCTTCAGTGTTCCTTGGATCTCCTTCACGGCCAATATGTTTTATGTCTGATCCAACACCCTCTCTTTTATGTACGTGCTCCTCGTGTTTTAATTTTTCCTCTTTTTACTTCAAATTCCCAATTCTTTGGAATTACCCAATTCCATTTTTGAAATCTCTATCGCTTCTCCTTGTTCCATGACACTTGGTTAGGTCATGTTGTGCGGCGGTGGAAGTGACTGCCACGGCTATCGCCGTACCTATGAGAAGACAAGAAAAAGTAGATTCTGACTAAAGAGAGAATCTGCAAGAGAAGTGAGTAGAAAAAAATAATTAGTGCAGAAAAGACACTAACAAATCTTATGTGTAAAAAAAATAAGGCATGTTCTTCTTTAGGGCTTTAGTTTCCCTTATTTTTTAGCAAAAAAATAATATAGAATTGTGCTATGTTTATATTTGGATAAATTACGTAACGCATCACTCCATTATTAATTTAGTTAGTTATTTTTTTCTAAAAGTTATAACTTAATTTTTTAATTATAAATTGGATTTTCAATTGAAGTTTCAACTATGTCTTTAATGTTTAATTATAAATTAGATTTTCAATTATATATTTTTCAATTTATTTTTAATATATATATATATATATATATATATTAATATTACTTAATACTTAAAAAATAATTGGCAGGACCAAGGTTCTCCTTGACCCTATGAAATTCCGCCCATAATTAATAGTTTGGTTATGAGTGTAAATTTTTATTTATTTTTTAATTCCATATAGTAAAACTTGTTTACCACACCGTCTTACACTATTAATCTATTACATTTTCTTATTTTAACTTAAGAATTACATTGAGTAATTTAATTTTTCACTAGTAAATAAATTAATAATTTATTATTGTTTATGTAGCTAAAAGATACGAGTTTGTTGACTGTTATGTGGATTGAATTATAAAAAAAATCCAATTTTAGTGCATATATTATTTGTGTTTTATAATATTATAATATTTAATGAGGAGAAATTTAACTTTTTGAGACTACTTCGTTCATTTTTAAGATTTATTAAGAAAATCTAATTGAGTTTGATATTTAAAACTAATCGATTGTGGATATTGACTTTATTCGTAGCTACATATCATTTTTTTAATAGAACTCTTTATTTGAGACTTATGTTTCATGTTAGGTATTAGAATTTTGGTTAGTAAGTTTGACACCCAAAATCTTGACAAAGCTTACGAGTGCTACATTCTACCACCAGAGTGCCCCAATAATTTTAAAATACATAAAATAAATATTCAAATAAAATAATTATACAAAATTTATAATTCCTTAACTTGTTTAAAACAATATACATAAAATAATTTATAATTTGACTCGATACAAATTAAACCCTTACATGTCCACCTAAGTAATCATTTATTTTAGTCGGATGATTCATTGAGACTCATCAAATGATATTGTAGTTTCATTGCAAACTATGAAACTTATAATCTTGAGCATTGAAATAATCCGAACGTTGAACTAACAAAGTTCAATAATACACATCTATTATGTTATATATTTCATGAGATTCATAAGCATAAGCATGCAAGTGTGGTATAAGCATAAAGGCATTGAGTACAACATAGATCTTCATCGTCATTTTTTCTCAAGTATATGTAATATCATATTTCTTATCATTATCAATATATGAATACCATGCTTATCAACATATATTTGTACACTATTCAAGAGTGTCATCAATCAATCGCTCAATTTTTTTATAGAAGTCACTAGTATTATTAAAAAAGGAAATATTTTAAATTATAATGAAAATCTATAATCATAATTGTAAATTAAGCATATAATTAGAATATTTTTCTAAAATTATTGACACAAAAAAACTAGCTACTTAAGATAACATAAGGACAATACAATGAAAAATTAAAAAACCTAACGAAAACCCAAACAATGATAGATACAAATAGATCTGATCGCATCAGAAAACGAACTGCTAAAGAGGATCAAGCTATAGAAAGACCACCGAAAAACCGTAAATCAAAGTCGAGTGACATGAATAAACTATCCATGAACGCAAACCGAGTATCCAAATCCAGTCTGAGGGTCCAAAGCAAGGAAGATCAACATGATAACAGATAAGTGTCATCTTGGTAAGTCGTGACAATGTCAAATCAACTCTTAAAACTGATAAATAAAAAGCAATGGTCAAACAAACGAAAATATATCAAAAGACAGATAAAAATGTGTGATAAAGGTAAATTTATTTAAAAAATAAAACATGAGAGAAATAAAGATGTGATATAAAAAATATAAAGGAACATAAAAAAATACCTGCAATAGACAACCAACATCAAGTTTGATACTACCACCAATCAACAAAGATAAAAATAAAAAGTATGAATGACACACCACAAATGAGAAAAACTAGAGAAACTAGGGCAGGTTATTTTATCAATCGCTCAATTTTCAATTGCTCTATGATCTACGCTCATAATTGTTTTATTAATAATAAGTTATCTGGTATCACCTAACGTTAGATAATTTTATATTATAATACTCGAGATCACCTAACATCAAATACTAAAATTAATATTCTTGCATGATATAATTTAATGTCAAATATCATAAATAACACTCGTGTATTATTCATACATGCAAATCAAGAGTAATACGATATCCAGTGTCACCTAACCTCAAATGATAAATAATAACCGTGAGATATTTTCCATGATCATTGATATGAGCCTACTCTTACACCTTCTACTCTTCATCTTGCTTTCTTCATATGTTGATAAGATGAAGGAACAAGGAACATTTACTCAACTCTCACATCTTTTCATTTTCTTTACATATCATTACTTTGCATGCACTTTATGCTATGTTATATATTACATATTTATCTTATTGTACTATGTCATGCATACCTTTTATATCATGTTAAGTACGATGATTACATGCCTTATGTTACATGCCATGCTTAGTATATATTATCTTACCTTATACATGGTTTATATCATGCATATTATGTTAAGCAAAGTCATGACATGTTATAGTCTGTGTATTATGTTTATTCTATACTTTGCTTAGTATAATGCATTCATACACATCTTTACTTAGCTTATGTTATGTTCATCATCATTTCTTATCTCATTCAATGCATATGAATTCATTGTTTTAGCTCATTGCATTATTAGCATATGAGGCAACATATATTCTTATGGTGAACAAATTTCCCTTTTGGGTACTCTCCCCGATCTTGGAAGTTGATTGAGCCTACTTGAATGCTTCTATGCTCTCATTCATGTGCTTTTGGTCACCTTGAACTTGCTATGGTGAAAATGGCACCAAAACAATTTTCTTGCCTCCATGTTTGAAAGTGTATTGATTTGTGTAACAATCATGCACAATATTCTTGTCATATTGCCACGGTCTTTCAAGAAAAATGTGGCTAACATGCATTAGGACCACATCGCACATAACCTTATCCTTATACTTACCAATTGAGAAAGGAACAAATACTTGCTTTGTGACATTAAGCATATTTCTATCGTTCAAGCATTGTAACTTGTATGGTGTAGGATGTTTTAGGGTCTTCAAACCTAATTTCTTAACCATGTTAGTGTTAGGAACATTAGTAAAACTACCAATATCAATGATCATGAAACAAATCTTTTATTCAATATTGCATCTAGTGTGAAAGATGTTTTTCTTTGTTGTTCCTCACTTGCCATTTGCGTGTTAACAAATCTTTTCACAACTAGAAGTACACTTTCAATAGCATATTCAATCTCTTCTTCTTCCTCATCAAGAATTTCTTCTCTTCATCCATCTTCTGGGTCGGATGTAACTTCCCCACTATCTAGAATTAATATGGAATTTCGGTTAGGACATTGATTAGTAACATGAACTCTACCCAGGTATTTGAAGCATTTGATGTATCAGGTCCTTTTTGCACTTGTTGGTTGCTTGTCTTTATCTTTGCCTTTGCATTCTACCATAATTTTTCTTGACTTTGGTGTCTCAACATTCTCCTTGATTTGTAAAGAAGATTGTTTCTTATATGTGTTGCCTCCTTGGTTCCATTTTACTATGGAAGAAGTGTTGCCTTGGTTCAAACTCTTCATCTTGGAGTTCTTTTCAATCTGTATAGCCATATATACCATTTCATCCAATTCCACATAGTGTTGCAACTCTATGATGTTAGCAATTTTAGAATTCAAACATGCCAATAATCTTGCCATTGTTAACTTCCTATCTTCTTCAACATTTCCACAAATCATGGTTATCTCTATCTCCTTGAAGTAATATTCCAAGCTCTTGTTGCCTTGCTTAAGATTTTGCAACTTCTGGAAAAGTTTCGGTGGTAATGAACGGGTATGAAACGTCTCCCCATAATGGCCTTCATGTCTTGCTAGTTGTTTATATGCCTTTATAAATTCATTCTTCTTGTAATAGTCAATTGATCCCACTATGCTAAGGCGTAATCAATAAACTCCATGGCTGCTAATGTAACATTCGTTTTCTCTGAATAGTTGTGGCATTCGAACACATGATCAACATTGGCTTCCTACTCTAGATAGGCTTCAGGATTAGTTTTGCCTTGAAATGCAAGAATAAAAACTCAAATGTTATTAAGTTTTTCATCAAGGAACATGTGCTCTTCATTGTTCCTCAGCACATATCTCCTTGAACCTTGTGATGCTTAATCAACCTCGGCCTATTCATCTTCACAGTCTGCTTGCTCATTATGCCTTGGTTGCCTTCTAAGTACATTGCCTCCTAAACCTTCAATTCTACCAAGTCTTTCATGAAGGGGTTCAAATTCTATCCTCATCAATCTAATCATCACAATCAAAGTGGCTTGAACTTGTAAGTTGGGGGTTGTTCTTCAGGGTGGTTGTCCTGAATCTTGAGACATTGTTAGAATAAATAAAAAATAATTTTTGAAAAGGAACTTTACCAAATTGCACAC